GCCGGGGGTGGCGGCCGCCGCCGCCGCCATCCCGCGGGCCCCGCCGCCAGTCCGCGCAGCCCCGCGCCGCTCCGCCATGCCCGTCGGCGCCTCCCCCGCGGCCAAGCCCCGGTACAGCCTGGTGAACGACCGGGACGACCTGCGCGTCCCGCTGCACAACGACGACGCCTTCCAGCACGGCATCGGCTTCGAGGCCAAGGTAGGGCCCGTCCCGCGGGGGGGAGCGCCGAGAGCGCCTCTGAGCGGGTGCAGAGCGCCGCGCCGCCGCGTTCTCGGGAGCAGCGAGCCGCGGGGATCGCGGCGTCGCTGCCCGGACGGAGCCCTGGCGGGGAGAGCGCCGAGCGCGGGCTCCTTTCTCGCCGGGCCTGCGGTCGTGCCCTTGGGCCGCCTGCCCCCAGCGTGGCCCGAAAGGCGAGGACGGGCCCACTCGGAGCCCGCCCCCGGCGCCGCGCTGCCCCGGGGCGAGGGGCGGCGCGGGCCCGCGGCGTGCCTCGCCCTCCCGCGCTCCTGGCACCGGGGGCGTTCCGCGGTCGGGCTGGACTGGCGGCGGGAACTTCCTCCCTGCGCCGCCCGGGCTGCCCCGCAGTGCCGGGAGCAGGTGCCCTGCGGCGGCCGTCGCCGGAGCAGGTGCCCGGGCCCCTCTGCCCCGCCGGGCGGCTTGGGGAGCCGCGCTCTCCCGCTGCGCCGCGCCCCGAGGCCCCCGCCTCGCGGCCGGGAGCATCTCCGGCAGGGCGGCCGCCGGTGCGCTCAGCCCCGGGGCGTTTTCCGGCGCCGGAGCCAGGTCATGCCGCAGGGCTGCCGTGGGGCGCGCGCTGGGATCGCTCGGCTACTTTGCCATTAACGACGACGAGGCGCGTCCAGTGCGAGGCGGGGCGGTTCTCGCTCCCGCGACGCGCGCAGCCGTCCCGAGCTCCCTCCCCCGCAGTGAGTGTCCGGGACCTGCCTTATCGCAGGGCAAGCGAAGGCGGCCGCCGGGGCAGCGCTTGTGGGGACGGCGGGCGCCGTTGTCGTTGTCCGGACGGCAGGCAGTGGGGGAGGTTTCCCTTTCCCTCGGTGCCTCCTCAGGGCGGCGGCAGCCCCAGGAGCCGGGGAGGGATGGGGGGCTGGCGGAGGGACTGCGGGGCAGCCCCGGGAGGCTCTGTGCGGCGTGCCGTGGCCAGGGGTGGAACGTGGCAGCCGGGCGAGCCGGAGCAGGCCAGAGAGCCACGGAACATCCGGGCCTCGGGTTGCTGAGGGGACAGCTTAGCCTAGTGATGCAGCCCAGGACAGGGCGAAGTGGGTGAGTGACGGGGCGTCTGGATGCAGAGTAGTCCTCTAGCCCCCGGGGGCGAGCCCTCCTCGGCAAGGAAGGGGCACGTTCGTAACCTGAACGACGCCAGCAACCCTCACGGGCTTCTTCCCATGCCAGGCCTTCTCCAAGGCATCCTCCATTTCACAGTTGGAGAAAAGTATCACTCTTCCTGCAAAATGCTGTGCCAGGTGCTCATTCTGCAGGTATTTCACTGCATCCTCTGTCCTGATTTGATATTGTGGGTCCTGTTCTTTCATGGAAGGCAGCGCTGGGTTATATGCACGGCTCTCCGCTCATTTGCCCCTGGCTTGCTTGTATTTTGGAGACCAGAGGATGGTCAGCCTGGCCAAAGGTTATGGCAGTTGAGTCCAGAGAGCCTGAGTGTGTGCTGAGGGCTGGCTGCCATTGACCCTTGAAAAAAGCACAGGTTGTCCTACCTATGCTAACAAGCCGTGGCTTGATGCCATAAAGGAACCATGAAGGGGACTAGTGGTTTGTTGTTGGGGTAGGAACTGCGGATCGTTCAGTGCGACATGTCGTGTCAGCCAGGTACAGAGAGCACACTGTTGCCACAGCCACCTGTGCTTTAATGACAACTCACGCTTAACAGGATAAGCCGCACTCGCTGGTTAACAGCGGCGGAACAGTCTGTGTAGCAGTAAGAGACGCTCCGTGAGGTCGACGCGAAATGCTGCCCAGCCCTGCCTGGGGCCTGTGGGAGCGGCCTTCCTCGGCGGGGAAGGACAGGGCCTCCCTGTGCATGGCACCCATGGCTAAGGTCCCCCGGTCCCCATGTAGGCCCCACCCTGGCTCTCGAGCATCCCTTAACGGTGCGACGTGTTTGTTTTGTAACTTGACTAGAGGATCGCACAGCCTGTTGCTTCTTCTCGTGGATACCAGTAAGTGGCACGCTCCTTGGCCGGCGGGGTTTGCTCATTCCCCTTGCGCCGGGGTTTCGGTACATCGGAGTGCATGCTCCTCCTCGGGGCGGAAAGGGTCCGTTCCCAGAGCGATCCTTCAGCGCAGACACTTCCACCTCGCTCTTCCCCAGGCCTCCTGCAGGACCCCACAGCACAGAGATTTAGACAGACAAGGCACTGCAGAACTGATCAGGTGGAGTCCCGGAGGGGAGACACGTATGCGCTGAAAGGGTTCCACTGAAAAGCACGTCACGAGATTGCGCCAGCCTTCCTCCTTTCCTGTCCTTCTCCTTGGTCTTTGGTGCCGCCTTCAGAGGTTGAGTGGAGGACCTTTGGCATGTTCAAGGCGTTTCGAAGCCGGCGCATGGGCTGCACAGGATCATCCCCGTCCGGTTTTCCTCTTCTCCGCAGCTCTTGGAGGAGAGCAGGCAGACATGGAGCAGGATGGGAAGGCCGAGGGGCCCCCAGGGCGTGGGGAAGCGGGTGGGTCTCCGGGTGGGTCTCCTCGCCCTTGGCCCCTTCCTTCCCTGCTGCAGGAGGTTTGGGACAGAGGTGGGTGATGCCCTCCAGCCCCCTGCCGTGCCAGATGGGCGCTGGCAGCACAGGATTTGCATTTTGGACTGTAATTTAAGAGCATTCCTGTTCTTAAATTACAGGGAGGATGCTTTTGAAGTAAACACAGGGAACTTGAAAGGGGAGTGTGGCAGCAACGGCCTGGCTGCCGGGGCGATTGCAAAACCCTCCTCTTACAAGATCTCACGGCGGGGGAGTTGCCAGGTTGGGCAGAGGAGACCGTGGGCAGGCGGTCCTGTGGGGCCTGTCTCTGGGAGGGAGGGAGGGAGGGAATCACCAGGCAAAACGGTTTCTCCCAGCAGTGAAGCCGAGCCCTCGTCCTCCCCATGGGAGCGGGGCAGAGGACGGGCCGGGCGCAGGGAGGACGTGTGGCACTCCCCACGCCGGAGGAGCTGAAGCAGGAGTGGAGGCATCGGGGTGATGGGCCAACGGGGGGCGGCACTGGGCGCAAGTGGAACCCGACCAGCGGCTCGGCTGAGCCCTTCTCTGCCTCAGTGGCCGGCCAGGTGCGCCCAAAGGCCGAGGTGGCCCTGCTCTTCCAGGAACTTGCCGGCTGGCCCTCGGGCACCCAGCCTCCGAACCATGGGGCCCTGTATGGTTGTCACAGCGTGTGGCCCCAGGCTTTGTTGTGATGGGGGCGGCATAGAAATGTTTTAAACAAACAAACAAACAAACACACAAATCTCTGCTGCACCTGCACACCCCCATCCCGGCTGTGGGAATTCCTCCGTGGCTGATGAAGCTGTGTAGGCACCCATTCACTCCTGGAGCCGTGGCGGAAGGAAAAGTACCAGGTGCCCATCGAAGGCTGCTTTGGGGTGGGGGGTTGTTTCATTTCCCCAGGCGGTTGGGGGCCTCTTGCCCCCACCTTCCTGTACGAATCCCTGCTTTCCTGCCATGTGGGGGGAGTCATGCTGTAACAGGGAGGATCCCAGGAGCCTGGGCTGAGCAGCTTGGGAGGCGCTGGGCACCGTTAGCCGACCAGAAGGGGTGGGGGCCCGTAGCACCAAGTGCGGGGCATGGCCGGCCTTGTTTGTGGGGGGCGGGGGCCGGGGGAACGGGCGATATGGCCCCACACAGCTCGCAGGGCGAGTTCCCCGATCGCCACGCACCGTGCAGAAGGGTGTGCGCAGAACTGCGGTCCTGAGGGGGCCACACGGGTGTGGTGTGGCGTCCTGCAACAGCAGGGTGTGGAATGGGGGCCTTCCTGGCCCCTTCCCCCTCTGCTGTCCTGTGATTCTGCGACAGACGCAGCCGAAGGCCCCTGGTTCAGCCGGTCCTGTGCACGGGGACCGCGGACTCTGCATGCTGCCGTTTCCTCCCTGCTTTTTCCCTTTCTCGCGCAGTGCCCTCCGGATCACACATTCGGGTGACTCAGGAGCCGCAGGATGGAAAGGACAAGGTCTGGACAGCTCATAGTCATGGGAATCCGCCTCCGCGTGCCCGTGAGCTTGGCCAGCCTGCCATGTGGCCTCGCGTGGCTGGCTTGATGTGGTGCGGGGCCGGCGTCCGCACTGTGTGGCAGGGTGCAGCTTCTGGCCGGAGCGCCGGGATCGGCTGGCCCTGTCCGGGCTGCTCCCCAGTGGCTGGCCTTGGCCAGGCGGAGGAGCCGCCCCGCCGGCCCAGGTTGCAGCAGCCGAGCCCCCAGGGAGAGCAGACGGGGGTTTGGCGCGGTGCGGCAGGCAGAGGCCACGGGGTGGGGGCTGCGCCAGCCCAGCAGGCGGACTTCCAAGAGGCCATGCGCTCCTGGGAGCTGCAGCAGAAGGGCTGAGTCCAGAGAGCCGCACCTGGAAGGGAGCGGCCTGATTCCTAGCAGCCGCTGCGTGGGTGGGGTGGTGCATTCTGGTTCCTGACTTCCTGCTGAGCAGATTAGAGGAAGCTGCCCAGCTGGACGAGGGACTCTGGGATGCAAGAGCCTAGTGCTGAGGGTCCCTCGCTTGAAGAATCCTAGAAGGGCAGAGTTGGCAGGGGCAGGCAGGGTATCAGGCCAGCCCCCCCCCCCCCGCTGGTGCAGGACACCACGTTACACCACCCCACTCAGAGGGCTGCCCCTCGGAGTTCTGTAGGAGGGCACAAAGGCCCGCAAGCAGCCGCCGGTGTCCCGGGATGAGGTGACGGAGGCAGTGGGAATGGGGAGCCAGGTGTTCTGCACGGAGCGCTGGAAGTGTGCGGAAATCGGTGGCGGCGCCTTAGTCAGTGGGGGCGCCTGTCTCTTAAGAATGCAGGGAGAGGTTTGAGCAGCTCGCCCGCAGTGACTCCGAGACCAGGCTGCCCTTCCCTGGTCAGGGGCTGGACGGCTGTCCCTCGGGAGCCCCAGCTACATCCGGCTGCTCCCGTGGAAGCTCAAGCCTGAGGGCCTTCCGGGCACCTTCTGGCTCCGATTCTGCAAGAAGGAGAACCAGAAGTTCCTCTGGGTGCACGTCTTACCCGCCCTGCTCGGAAGGGCCCACTGGCTCCACTCCCTGTGGGCTGCGCGGAGGGCGGCCCAGGCCACGAGAGCTCGGGCATCGGCCCCAAACGCGCTGCCCGGCGCCCGGGAAGCGACAGTGGTGATATTTTAAAAGGAAGGCCAAGGCCTGTCCAGGCTGCTTCACTTTTGGTGCACAACAAGTAAAAACGAGCTGGAGGTCGGCTTGGGTTGCGCAAGGGCAGTTGCACAGGGCGCGTGCGTGCGTGCGTGCAAGCGGAGGGCTTTCAGTGCAGGCTCCTCGGGAATTTGGGCGTCTCCTAGTGGTCAGCAGGAGGTCTAAAGCTGGCATGTGCCAGGCAGCTGGCCAAATGGTCTTGATCCGCGGAGCTGCAGAGTCCACAACGTCAGAGCGCAGTGTAATCCACTTGCCTTTGTCGTACTGTTGCCCCGATGGAGGAGAAGTCAGCACAAGCGCCTGACTCTCTGCTGCGTGTTGTGGGTGGCAAAGGGTGGCAGGCGGACTGGAACGCAGCCCCCTTCCCTTGGGCGCCCGGGGGAGCCGGGAAGGGCTGAGCCCAGCGTCTTTGCAAGAGCTGCCGTCCTGGCGGGAGCCCTCGAATCCCCCTGCCTTCTCTCCGCCCGGCTCGCCCCGCAGGGCTGGGGTTCAGAGACTTGCCCGGGTCTGGCGCTGCGCTTGGCCTGCGGGTGCTGCCACTGGTCTGAGGCCAGGTCAGAGCTCCCAGTGGCAGGATTAACAGCACCCAGGGCACCGCTCAGATCATTTATACGAATTTGCACTGGCTTTAATGTATTAACTTAGACCTGATTTTACCTGCCTGTGTGTATGCGATTCTGCCCTATTCATTTATTATGATCTTTTAATGTATTGTTTTATTTATGGTACTTTTATTGTAACGGCCGCCCAGAGAGTGTGATCGTAATGGTCCGCTTCCAAAGAAATTCAGTAAAGAAATGGAGGGAGGCCGGGAGGCTCCCGGGTGCGCTGGCTTGGTTTGGGCAAGTGCTCTGGCCCACTTGCAGCGTCGGGACCAAAGCGAGGAGGCGCCTGAGATGCTTCCATGCCTCCCTCGTGCTTCAGTTTTCCTACCGCTTTGCTCTCTCACCCCTTGGGGCAGCTAATCTGGAAGACTGCAGGGAGAAGAGGCAGCAGTTCCCAGAGGGGGGAGCCTTGAGCTGAGCCGAGCAATTATGGCAGAACCGCTGGGCTACGAAGGGGCTGGGTTGGTTGCCTTGGTGCCGCGAGGTCGAGGGCAGAGGCCTTGCTGCCTCTGGGCCTGGCTTTATTTCTCCTGGAAGCAGATAAGCAGAGAATGCTGTGCGGGAAGGGAGGCTCTTGTGTGACAGAACCGTGTTGGTTTTAAAGATCCCCTCCATTTAAAAGCTTAGCTGGGGATTATATGCAAGCCGAATCTTCCGCAGCTTCCTTTGCCTGTCGCATTTCCACGAGGAACCCTCAAGAAAGGTGCAGTTTGAAAGGCGTAGCTAGTGGGCCTTTCTGCCCTAATCACTTCCCCTTCTGGGTGCTCACGAGGAAGCCCCAGTCGGTGCAGGGGGCCTTCCTTCCAGGCGAAAGTTGCCACCCCAAGGGTCTTTGCCGCCCTCTGGCCCAGTAGCCCCCAAAGCAGCTTACACAGCAGTTAAAGCAAAGTAAATCGCAGCGGATTGTTATGAAACAGAGGCAGGAAAAGCGGAGATGAAAACAATAACACAGATGAGGAGATACAGTCGGATTATTAAGGCATCAGGGCCGATTGCCACTTGATGGTTGGGGGGGGCGGAGGGACTTAGCTGGGCTTTTCAAGCCAAGGACCGAGTTAGTGGCGGAACGGCACAAGTGGGGGCCACCGGGGACCCCCGTCTGGCCTCTGGGCAGCCCTGTGCAGCCTGGTGCTCTCCAGGTGCTTCGGACTACAGGTACTAGCATGCCTGGCCCTTGGCCATGTTGGCCACGGCAGATGGGAGTTGGTCCAAGCCCTTGGCGGGCACCGCCTGGGGATGGCAACTGGGCCACGGGGTGAGGGACCTGGGGGCCGCCTGGCACGGTGGGCCCCGGTCCTTCGCACGCCTGCCCTCCACGCGGTGGCCGCTCCTGCCTGTGGAGCGCCGGGCGGCCCCGGGGGGCCTGAGCCGGGCCTGGAGGCTCTGCCCAGCTGCGCATGGGCCCCGGGGAGCCCCCGGCCTGCACTCCGCCGGCTCTGGCCGGCTGGCCGCACACAGGCCTGCCAGCCGCTTGACTGGGGCCGAGGCCGTGGCGGCAGGGCGGGGGTGGGCCCCGCACCCCCAGGGGCCAAGCCCCCACCGCTGGAAGGAGCCGCACACCTGGCAGTCTGCCGTCTGGCACGCCTGGCGGTCTGTGGGGAGCAGTAGCCACGGCTCCTTGCTCGCCAGCCCTCCTGAAGGACGGGGCCGTGAGCGCCGCTGAGCAGACTACCGGCAGGGGAGCCACATCCCCAGGGGCCGTGGGCGCCTTCCTCTTCCTCGGCCCGCGGCCCTCCAGGAGCCTTCGCGGGGCTGTGCTGCTTCCTCCCCACACTACTCTTGCGGGCCACGCTGGGCCTGCCACGGCTTTCCCCCCGTTCCCTTTTTGGACAGCTGGGCCCCTTAAAAAGGGGAAACGTTTGTGAGAATGCTCAGGGCTGGCACCTGTTGCACCTTAGCAGCACCCCCCCCCCCCGGCTTCAAATCCAGAGTGAGGCATGTGGTGTCGTGGTTGGAGCATCGGTCTGAAACGCAGGAGACGCGGGTTGTAGTCGCCGCTCGGCCACAGAGGCAACTGGCCGACTTTGAGCCTGTGCCAGACTCTCAGCCCAACCCACCGGGTTCTTGTTGCAAGCACGAAATAGAGGGTGACTTTGTGAGCTACTTCGGGTTCCTGCAAGAGGAAGAAAGGTCGAGACTATGGTGTAGCAGTAATAATTACGCAAGGGCAGTAAATCGCAGCCTTTGCACTGCCGACAACGTGGCTCTCTGCCCTGGATCCCCCTGCAAGAGGCCTCGCCGGGCCCAGTGGACCGGGTTTGCATCGCAGTTACCCATCTTGGGCAGCGACCCGCAAAGGGTTGCCAGGTTGTGCGAACTCAGTCCCAGTTTTCAGTTGGCCAGTAGCTGACTCTCCATGTATTATGGATAAATCAATGAAATGCTTTGGGCTGAATGAAAGGAGAGCTCTGGGAACCGGCGAATGCGCATTCGAAGTCTGGTGTGAACCTTCTTGCACTCAGGGCTGCGATGCATCTCTGAAACCATTCTCCAAAGTCTGAGCATCGCGCAGCCTTGCTGGCCGGCAGGCCGCAGTGGGAGTGTCTTTTGCTGCATGAGGAAATCCCGGTTGCGAGACTTTGATCTTCTGAAACAATTTTGCAAAGTGCTCCCGAATTTGCCATTTGATTCCCAGTCCGGGAAAATCCACCATAGGTTGCTGGCGCTGCTCTGCCTCAGTCTGCCTTAAATCCTTGCAGGCAGGTGGCAGAGGGGGCCGGGTGCTCTTTCCACCCCTCCGCGAAGTCCAGCACAGTAGCATATCCGAGCTGGGGGCCGGGGCCTCGGATTGAGACTGGGGCAGGGCAGCGCTTCCCTCTGGCTGCCCACGCAGTTCGCTGCTCTGCGGCCGAGGCCTGGGGCAGAAGAGGGACGGGCGCCCCCGCTCCTCTGCCCAGGCGCCTGTGAGGAGGCGGGGTGTGTGCCCGCCCAGGATGCACCGGAAGCCCCCCACCCGATGGCCTCACCCTTTCCCGAGCTCCTGCATGCCCCGCCGGGGTGCCTGGCGCAGAGGCCTCGGGCCTCGAGGGTCTGCCCTGGCGGCCAGCATCTCCAGAGGAGGGGCCTGTCCCGATGGCAATCTCCAGGCGGCCCGCTCCGGTCCATGGGTGGCTGCCCCAGGCCTGGCCCCTGGCGGGACAGCGAGCTCCAGGGCCGCTCCCAGTCACGGGCGCGAGTGTCCCACCTGCTGCACAGAGCAAGCGCCGCGGCACCGCAAGGCTGGGCAGAGGGCAGGCGCGGGCGCAGCTCCGGGGGATGGCGGCACGTCATGGCGGAAGGCCCCGCGCGGCTGGCTGCCTCATTCGGAGGGGGGGACTTCAGGGAGCCTGCCCTGGCCCCGTCTCACCGCCCCTCCTCTCCTTCCCCTCCAGTACATCGGCAGCCTGGACGTGCCACGGCCGAACAGCCGGGTGGAGATTGTCACAGCCATGAGGCGCATCCGGGTAAGTGGCTTTGCCCGCAGCCAGGCTTTCTGTCGCTGCCGCATCCGGGGGGGCGGGGGGTCTGGGGGCACTGCATCGCTGGACTGCATGGCTGGTGCCAAGGGGGTCTGCATCCCCCACAGAAGAGAGCCCCGGCACTGGTCGGTGGCCCTCGTGGCGCCCACAGGAAGCCATGAGAAGCTCAGAGCGGAGACCTTCCGGCTGGGCCTCTCGTGTGTCTTGGCGGGAGCGGCCTCTGCCGAAGCACGCCCGCCAGGAGGAAAACCCTGGGGGTGCCCTTTCCCCTCCTGCCCCCTCCCCTGGCCATCCCGGTAGACCACGCACTGCCGGAGGAGGGGTGAGCCCGCCTGCCCTCCGCACACCAGCCGCCCAAGCCGCTGCGTGGATTTTGCCGTGCCCGTTTTCGCGGCTTTCATGCCTCCTTCGCAGCCGTTTCTCTGCCCGGAGTTGCCCCCTGCAAAGGTGCTGTTAACCCTTCTGCTCCTGCAGCGTTCGCTGCTGCTCCTTCCCCTCCACAGTGGGACTGAAGAGCCGCTGGGGGAGGGGGCAGGGGGGCGGAGGGAAGGGCTGGCGCTGCCCCCCCCCCCCCCCCCGGCCCTGCTCCATGATGGGCTTGGCGGTGCTTCGTGCCGCTGGCTGCACCACTGCTTGCTGTGTGGCACCTGCTGCTCCCAGCACTCCCGCTGCAGGATGACTCATGAGCCGAACGGATGCGGATGAACTGGCCCGGTCCAGCCTTCCCTTCCCGGCACCTGGCCTTGCACTGAACACTCCTGCACTTCGCAGGAGTGCGGAGCCGCCAGCCGGCTCTCGGCCTCCTCGCGGCGCTGGGGGCTCTCCTGCGGTGCGTGCCTTGGCCCCCCCTTCGCTGCGGGGAGACGGGGAAAGCCGTTGGGACAGGCCAGGCCAGGCCAGGCCAGGCGAGTCCCACGAGGGCAGGAGACCATCTGTGGCAGGGGGACGTGTGGGGCAGCGCCCGGACTTGGGCGCCAAGGGCCGCGTGCCTGGAGCCAGGAGGCGTGGGGGAGCATTTGGGCCGAGGGCAGTTCGGCGGGCGGGCTGAGGGGCTCCGCCTTCCTGGGAGACCGCGATGCCTGCGTGCTCTTCCCAGTGGAGCACCTGCAAGGCCTGGCCGGGCAAGGGCCTGAAGCCGAAGCCGCCGCGGATCGGTGCCCCGCAAGGCTCCCCCGGCAGGAAGGGCTGCGCTCTGCGCCTGCTCCTGCTGCTCCGGCCAGGCGAAGCTGTGGCTGACGGGGGCGGCAGGCCCGGGGCCCCTCCAGGGTCTCCCGGCAAGTTCTCTGGAGGGGAGACTGGGGCACGCTGCAGCGGCACACGTGCGAAAGGGGAGCGGGAAGCAGCGCGGGGACCCCGGTGCCCACGCCCGTCCGTGGCCTCTGCTCGGACCCCGCGGGGGGGATCCTTTCCCCCGTGGGCCGGGCCCAAGCCCGCCCCGCGGCCTCCCCCTGGCGGCTCTCTGTGGCAGCCGGCGTCCCCCAGCTGCGCCGCCACACGCGGCCCTGGAGAGGATGCCGTGGGAGCTGCCGTGCTCCCCTCCAGCTGCCCTCTCCTCCCGCAGCACGAGTTCAAAGCCAAGAGCATAAAGAAGAAGAAGGTGCACCTGATGGTGTCGGTCGACGGCGTGAAGGTGGTGCTGAAGAAGAAGAGGAGGAAGAAGGTGCGCGCCGTGTCCCCAGGCTGTGCCTGGCCCACAGCCCGCACGCAGCCCTCCCGGAGGAGATGTGGCCTCGCCCGGCTCCGAAGGCTCCCCATGCCGGCCGTGGTCCCTCTGCCCAGCCCGTGGCCCCCACGGCGCCCTCCCGCGGGGGTCCTCTGCCCGTCCCTGGCCAGGAGGGGATTGCCCTCTTCCCGGGCTGCCAGGCCTGGCCTTGTCCGCCCGCAAAGGAATGGGAGAGAGGCTCTCGCTGCCTCTGCTGTTGGCCTTCCCTTGGCTTGCGGACGAGCCGCGAGGGCTGCAGGGGGAGCCGCTGGTCTCGGACTGGCTCTTCCGCGGGCTGAGGGCAAGAGCGGCCGGCCTGGGGCCCGCCAGCCCACGGGCTCTTTGTCAGGCCCTCGGTGGCCACGGCAGGCGCCAACCCCGTGGGAAGCAACCGAGTTCTGAAAGGTGCCCCTTCACACGTGAGCCAAGCCCCTGCCTGAGGGAAGGGCTGCGCAGCTGGGAAGCCCTGGTCCTCCGTCAGCGCCTGGCACCGCTGCTGCTTTGACGTGCTCTGAGGCGGGGGGGAAGGCCTCGCATCTGCAGCACGGGGCCCCCAAAACGGCGTCCAGAGGGAGGGGCGATGCAGGCAGAAGCGCTCCCGGGGCTTTGCGAGCCAGGCGTTTGTCCCGCTCATGCGCAGCTCCCTTTCGCAGAAGGAGTGGGACTGGGACGAGAGCAAGCTGCTGGTGATGCACGACCCGATCTACAGGTGAGCGCTCACGAGCGGAGGAGGCAGGTGCGGCGGGGCGAGAGCCAGGGCCAGCCGGCAGCAGCCTGGGCGCCACGGGCCAGCCAGTCGCGAGCCGGAGGGGGCTCCCTTCGTGCAGAGGAAGCCTTTGGAGAGGTGGGACCACCCGGGGGCTGCAGGCGAATATGGACGACAGGATCTCTGTCAAAGGCCTGGGTCTGCCCCTGCTCCCGCCTTTGTTCTTGGCCTCCCGGACACGGTCCTGCCTGGAACGCCTCTTGACCGGGCCACCTGGGATGCCCCCGCTCTGGCACGTCAGCCCCGTCGCTGCTGCCTGGAAAGGGAAGTGTGATTGTCCGGGGCCCAGACAGAGCCTTCCCAGTGCCAGGAAGTGTGACGGCTGCCGCACGGCGCGGCCCGTGCTGGAGCCCTGCGGCAGGGGCCTCACTCGGGCATCCTTCCTCGTGCTTCCCGGACGTCCCCCGCACGTGATGGAGCCTGCTGCCGCTACAGCTGTGGCCGCCCACACGCAGCGCCTGCCCCCACCGCCCTCCCTGGTGCACGTGCACCCACCGCTCTGCTGTTCCTGCAGGATATTCTATGTGTCCCATGATTCCCAGGACCTGAAGATCTTCAGCTACATTGCCCGGGACAGTGCCAGCAACGTCTTCCGCTGCAACGTGTTCAAGTCCAAGAAGAAGGTGAGCCGCAACCTGCCAGGAGTGCGAGAGGCGGCTCACAGCCGGCACCGCAACAGGCCCAGAGGGGCGCCGGCTCCGGGCCGGCCTTGCACCTTGCGCGGCGCCTCCCGGCCGCGGCTCCTCTGGTGGGGCCCGCTGCCGGCTTCAGAGTGTCCCTTGGGAGGCCAGGTTGGCTCCTGGCGGGCTCTTGCCCAGTGCGCCCATGGGGCCAGCCCTGGGAACGGCCTGGGGAGGGGGGCGCGGGGCACATGCCGCCCCCGAACGAGGGCCAGGCGCCGGCTCCTCGCTGGAGCACAGCGTGCGAGGGGCTCGCCGGGCCGCCACGAGGCGCTGCTACACCACGGGGTGCCCTGTGCCCCGGCGGAGCAGCTCCCCTCTCCTCTCCGCAGAGCCAGGCCATGCGCATCGTCCGAACCGTGGGCCAGGCGTTTGAGGTCTGCCACAAGCTGAGCCTGCAGCACGCGCACCAGGATGCCGACGGCCGGGAGGAGGGCCGGAGCGAGAAGGGCAGCGAGGACCTGGCGGCGCTGGGTATGGCCCGGGCTGCGGGAGGGCCGGGGAGGCTCTGGCTGCCCCCGCTCGACCCCTGTGCGCCCTGGCAGAGTGGGGGGCTGCTGCCTCGGCCCACTGGCTGTCCCCCGGACCTGAGGCCTCGGGCCCCTCTCAGTCGCCCCCCCACCATCTCTCGCAGCTGCCGGGCGGCCTGGAGCAGAGCCTGCCGCCGCCGAGGAAACGGACATCGACGCGGTGGACCTTGGTCTGCCTGGGAGTGACCACCTGGAGTTCAACCGGGGGGTGACGGACCTGGATGCCGTTGGCCGAGAGTCCCCTGGCCGGCTCTGCGCCCAGGTGCGTCGCTGACTGCCGCGCTGCTCTGCAGGAGCCAGGCTGCAGCCCCGGAGGAGGGACTGTCGCCTGCCCGGCCCTGCGAGCGGCGGGACTGGAGGGGGCAGGGCTGACCGAGACAGCCCCCAAGCCCCGGCCTGCCCTATGTGCCACACGGGGGGCGGGGGAAAGCAGGGCCCAGAAGTGCTCGAGCAAATCTTTCCATCACGCAGTCCGCAGAATAAAGCCGCGTGGGACCGGGGGGCTGAGAGCAGGCCCAGCCCCTTCCCTCACCGTGCCCAAGCTGCCCCGGTCCTTCCAGACCGGCTGCTGGGTGCTTTGCGCCCGGTGGCCCCTGGCCGGGTCACCAGCCTTGGCCATGCGCACCCGGGGGCTGCCAGCCACGCTCGGCCCAGGCACCGCCGGCCTGTGGCCCTGCGGCCGCACGCACCTGCGGCCAGCACTTCCACACACCTGGGGTGCGAGGGCCTTCGTTTGCGCTGGCCGGGGCATCCTCCTGAGTCGGGGGGTGGGCGGCACCAGGTCGCCCATGTCTGTGGGGCCCCGATGACCCAGCGCAGCAGCCCTTCCTCGTCCCGTGCCCGCTCTGCGCGTGGCGCAAGGCACCTCTTGTGGGAACTTCCGCGTCACTCCGTGAATGCGAAGAGAAGAGCAGGCGAGCGTGTCAGTGGCGCCCCTGAAGGGGCGCGTGCCGTCTTCGGTATGGCAGGAAAGGGCAGGACCCGAGGGCGCTCGTGCTCTGCTCCCCACAGGGCGAGCCCCGCTTCCCTGGCCCCCTGCGCAGCCCGCAGGCCCGCCCCGGCGTGGGCGCGCTGGCCGGCAGGCCGGGGACGGGCCTTGCTGACCTCTCCCTCTGCTTACATTCTGCAGGGCCTGCTCTGGAAGGACCGCGTCCCGACGGCTTCCCCCGGGGCGCCGCTCCCCCTCTGTCCCGAGCCAGGGGGCCCTCTGTCCGCCCACCACCAGACGCAGCTCCTGCAGCAGCTCCTGCAGCAACAGCAGCAGCAGACGCACGTCGCCGTGGCCCAGGTCACTACCCGCCCTGCCGCACCACAGAGACACCCCGGGGCAGCCGGAGGGTCCTCGGGCCTCATCGTGCCGGTGGAGATGCACTCCGGCTTGGCCAGGGGGGTCCCCACCCTGCTCTGCCACACGCCTGTCAGAAGGTTGGGCGCCCCGGCTGTTTGGTGGCCCGAGAGCCTGGCCGTCCCCAAGACCCCGGCCCCGGCAGGGTTGCGCGCTGGTGTCGATCGCACTGCTTGCGCAGTGTTTGCACTGGAGGGAGGCTTGCGCAAGCTCCTGCTCCTGCTCCCACGGGGACGGCGTGCGAGCCGGCTCTCGCGGTCCTGCTGCTTTCTCTCCGTGAGTCTCCCTGGGAGACGCCAGCGTGCGGTTGGCCCCCTGCCAGAGCCACCAGCCTGTCTTCTCCGCCTGGAAGCGTTCTCCTCCTGCCCCGCCTGGCAGCCGCAGCTGCTGCTCCGATCCGTCCAGTCGAGGGGTGCAGATAACCTTTGCTCTTAAGCCGCCCCCCGAGAGCTGGACCTTGCGCCCGTCAGCAGCTCCCCCGCCTGCCCCACTGATGAGACCCAAGGCCCCGTCGTTAGCACAGAAGACGCCCTCCCTGTGGCTGTCCGTCGCGGTCATGTTTCTTGCCCTGTACGGCACTTTGGAAGCCCCATTTTTCAGAGCGGATGATGCTCTTCACGCCTGGGACCACGCGGTGGGATACGCACGGACTTCTGTCTCCCCTTCCGCTCCCTCCCCTCCTCGCGCATGTTGGCTTTCCCGCCCCGCTTCACTCGCCGTGCAGGGTTTGGCCTCTGCAGAGAGCAAGATAATAATCCGCATTGATAATCGGTTTGGCTCAGCACATAGTTTGGGCCCTTTTGGGAATTCTTCTCTGCACTTGGTTGCAGCTGCTTTTTTATCTTCCTTTCCTGTTAGGTTTTCTCTCTCTTGGCCCTGTGATGGTTTGCGTTGTTTTGCAGGGGATCCACCCGTCTTGCGGTAGTGCCAGCTTTGGCACCGGCGTCATGGCCGTGCTGCTCTGCCGCCAGCCCCGCCTCGCGCGCTCGGCCTGTCTTGGGTCGCGCGTCCGTCGGCAGCTCCCTCCGGGTCTCGGCTGGCGTGGCCGGCCGGTCTTGGGACAGAGCCACGCTCCGTGGGCCGTGGCGGAGTGGCCTGGCCTGGGGAGGGGGGCAGAGGCTGTGGCAGGCGCAGGGCTGCCCCAGACGCCCCCTCCCGCATTCACGGAGGGGCGGAAGCAGAGGCATGCCCTTCTTCGGAGACGGGGAGCGTCACGAACGCCGCGAGGGGAGTGGCAGGCGGCCCCGTGGTTGTCTCCTCTTGGGGGAGCAGTTCTAAAACCACTGCCTCCGTTTCCCACCATCACTCCTGACGGGCTTTGAGCCAGGCTCCGAGCTGGCAGGGCAGGGCAGGGAGGCGCCTCTGCTCGAGTGAGCGGCAGCAGGGAGGCCCCCAACAGCCCCCAGTCCTCCGGGGGGGGCGCTGGGGCTGGGCTGGCGGAAGCTCTGCCCGCGCAAGCGCCCTGGGCAGCCGAGGGACCCCGCGAGGGCCGCCCAGCCAGCCCGGCGCCACGCGTGACCAGGCCCCTTCCTCTCGGCTGCAGGTGCGGCTGCTGAAGGACCAGCTGGCGGCAGAGGCGGCAGCCCGGCTGGAGGCCCAGGCCCGCGTGCACCAGCTGCTGCTGCAGAACCGGGACCTGCTGCGGCACGCCTCCCTCCTCGTGCGGCAGGTGCAGGAGCTGGAGGCGAAGCTGCTGGGACCCCGCGCAGGTGAGTGCTGGCCGCCGCCCGCACGGCCCCTCGCGCCTCCGGCACTGGTGAGCGCGCCCCGCGCCAGCCACGCCTGGTGGGGGGCCGCTTGCCGGACCGGCTGCGCTCATGCCCCTCTGCCGGCAGGGCAGGCTGACGTGCGGCCGCTCTCCCGCCTGTCTTTCAGCGAGCCCCCGGGACGGCGTGCTGGAGCTGGCCTGCCGGTCGGGGGCCCTGCCCGTCCTGTGCGACGCCACTACCCCCCTGCCCGACGGCGGCCCCGAGCCGCGGCCCGACGCCCCCGGCCCCCCAGGCGGGCCCCTCGGCTGGAGCGACTGCTGGGCGAGGCTGGAGTGCTTCCGCTTCCCGCCCGGCCCGGCGCCGCCCTTGGGCAGCCTGGAGCTCCTCCGGTTCCGTGAGTCGGGGATCGGCTCCGAGGGCGAGGGCGAGTCTGGCACGGACGGGAGCGAGCAGTGGGGCGCCTGGGCCCGGGGGGCGCCCCCACGCCTGGTCAACGTCCGGGACCAGCAGGGGCCGGGCGACAGCCTGGAGGAAGAGGTGGCCATCTGAGCGGCGGCAGCGCCCCTTGGGGCGGGCAGGTGGGGAGGAGAGGCCCCCGGCCCCTGGCCCGGGACCGGCCCCGGCCCGTCTGTCGTGGCTGCTTCTGGGGCCTGGGCACCGACGGCCCCCCGAGGCGGAGCACCGTGCCTGGGGCAGCCTTGGGGCGGACGTGCTGTGCAGCCTCGCCGTGGGGAGCCGAGTCCTCCTGTCCCGCCAGACGTGGCAGGTTCCGGCCCCGGGAACCTCGGGTCGCTGGCTTGCTCTTGGGGCTGCGACTGCGTGTGCGTTGGGCCCTTGAGGCCCGCAGAGCCCGGCCAGAGTCTCGCAAGAGCGTGCCGTGTCCGTCCTCTGGAGCCAGCGGTGCTCCGGCGGGGGCAGGATGGGGACGGGGCCTCGGTGCCCCCGTTGCTCTTGGCCTCCCGTCCCTCCGGGGAGCGTGGCCGGAGGCGGTTTGCCTGCTTTGCATGGCGTGTGGCGTGCCGGAGGGAGTTTGCGCGTGAGATTTTGCCTTTGGCGCAGGGTGTGCGTGCTTGTGCCGTGCCGTGCAGTGAGTGAGCGAGCGAGCGAGCACAGGGAAGCGCGGCCCCAATCCTCCCTGCTGCCTCCCCTTTCCAGACTGTCCCGAGGCAGGCGCAGGAGCTGCATCTCGGGGCAAGCGGAAGGCGAGCGTGTGGCTCGGGGCCGGAGTGTCTTCTGGGGCCGGTCAGTCGCTTCTCGTGCCCTCATGAATCCGCTGTGCGCTGGGCACGGCCGTCCTCGTTCCCGCAGAGCCACTCCAGCGGTGCTCCGGCCCTTCGTTCTGGCCCAGTGCTCAGCCCGCCTGGCGCCCTGTTGCTCGGCCCCGGAGGTGCTTGCAGGATGCCTGGAACCGGCACTCTTCGTCTCTTCATTCATTCATTCATGCATGCATTATCCCACTTTTTTCCTGTGGCAAACCCAAATTCTCCTCCTCCTGCTCTCAGTCTCATCCCACCAACAACCCTGCAAGGAAGGCTAGCCTGAGAGTCTGGGACTGGCCCAGAGGCACCCCGGTGGCTCTGTGGCTGAGCGGGGACCCGGAACCAGGTTCCCCGAGTCCCAGGCCTGTGCTCTTCACACCCCGCCACATGGGCACTCGCTAGTTAAAGGGCTTCCTGGTTGCATGCTCTCTCCCCCCTCTGGAGGAATATTTTGAATCCCCTTTTTACCACAACTTCAGCCTTTCCTTCCACCTTTTTTTTGAGTGCCACCTGCATCTCGCTTTGCACCGCTGTGCGGCCTTCCCGTTCGTGCATCCACAGAGGCGTGACAGAGGGCCGGAGCGGCGAGGCTGCTTCCCCTTTTCTGGGCCTGGGGTTAGGGTTAGGGTTAGGGTTAGGCCAGGCCTAGCGGACTCGGCGTGGGGGGGCAGGACACACCTGCAGTGCGAGGCCCCCGCCGTGCAGGGAGGGGAGCTGCCGCCCGGCTCGCTCATCGTGCTCACAGGAGGCTCCCTGCCTCGGGCTCCCGTGCCCTGCCTGGCGGAGCAGCTTGTATGGCAGCCGGGGGGAGAGTGGCCTGAAGGGCGGCGCTCTTTCCCCGGGCGGCTCCGGAGGGCCCCGTGAGTGGCGAGGCGTCCTCTGGGGGGGGGGGGGGGGGGGCACGTGGTCCTGAGGACTCGCGCTGTGGACGTGGCCCAGCATCTCTGGAGGGGAGCGGCTGGGAAGGGGAGGCCTTTTGCATCTTGGGGCCCCTGCACCCCGCCTCCCCTCCATCAGATGTGACACTCTCAGTCTGGTCACCCACAGACTCTGCGCTCAGAGAGAGAGCGTGCCCCCTCCTTGCCCGGCTGAACAGGCGGATCCAAGTGGTATAAAGCAGTTTCTGGTGATGCCCAAACCGGATCTTAGTTTTCTGTCCTGGCCTGAATGGCTCCCTTGAAAACTAGTCTCCCGGTGTGTCTGTCGCAGAAACTGGGCTTGCACAACCCAGAGCAGGCTGCCAAAGGAAACGGCAAGAGCAGGAGAGGGCCGGCCGGCGCACAGCTCCTCTTCCTCGCCGGGCTGACGGGCGGCTGCAGCAGGCGTGGGGCTGACTCAGGAACTCGCCTTCCAGAGAAGCGGCTCAGGGAGAAAGTGCCTTCTGGATGCACGGGGGGGGGGGGGGGGGGAGGGAGGACGGGCCGCTGTCCCAGCCCGACGCAGCCGGGGTGTGCTCGGCGGCCTTGCGCCAGGCCATCTGCCGTGCGTGAGCTCAGGGCTTTCTGGGGACGAGCGAGGCAGGGAAGCAGGATGCAAGACTGGAGCACCTGAAAGGGTGTCTGGAGAGGGGCAGCGGAGGTGGGCGGGACAGGCGGGAGCCCGCCAGGTGCCACGGAGGAGGGCTGGCACGCGTGGGGCAGGTTAGGTGCCGGAGCAGGAGCATCAGCGAGCCCCGGCGGCCTGGGCAGGGCGCAGACGAGGCCCCGCAGTGCAGAGACAGGGCCAGCTCAGCCAGGTGGTGGGCCTTGGCAGCTGTGGGCCCCGCGGAGGGTGGCTGCCCCTCGCTTGGCGTTGGGGCCACTGCAGGGAGGGGCCGATCCTCGGGTCCGGTTTGGGCTCCCTCGTCCTCGTGCTCCCGCCCCCCCACGTGAGGCTCTGGCCAGGCCTGGGATTCCCGTGCCCCTCGCTCTCCTTGCGCAGCGTGACTTTCCGTGTAAGTGCACTTAACCGGGGCGGGCGGTGGCAGCAGGGGCTGCTTCTTGGCTTTTGCTGAATAAATCTTCCTGTTTCTAAAGCTAAACTGTTGTTTCTGCTTTCTTTGCTTTCCTGTCTCTTCCTGAGCTCTGCTGCGTTCCAGCGGGGAGGGCCGGCCTCTCGTGGGGGTCCCCAGCAGAAAAGGTGTCCCAAAAGCCGGGCCCCGAGCCGGGTGCGGGCAAGGGCCATGCGGCTTGCGGGGCAACCCGGAGGAGCTTGTGTGGCCCTGTAGAGCGACGGGCCGGCCGCTTTTCCTCAGAAAGCCCTGCGCCAGGGACTGCCGCACCACCGGGGAGGGCACGGAGTCGGGGCATGTGGGGCAGAAGCCCCCTCCCGGGAGCCGCCCTCGGCCATCCACTGGGATGCCCATGCGGCGCCTCGGCGGCCCCACCGGCTGGCGCTCGGTCCTCTGCCCTGTCACAGGCGACGGGCGAGCTGCCGCTCTCAGAGCCCGCAGCTGGGCGCAGGGGAGGCGGCCCCTCGGCGCCAGGCCTGCGCCCCAGAGGGCCAGCAGGGCCCTCGCCAGGCTGGGCTGGGGGCCACCCCCCTTCTCGACGGCATCGCTCAGCCCTCCCGACAGCCTGCAGGGAGCTGCCCCGCCTGGCCCTCTGCCGCGGCAGTGGGGCGGCCCTTGCCGCCCCCCCCCGGAGTAGCCTCGTGGGAAGGGGCTCCCCGAACGGCAGGGGCGGCCGGAGGCAAAGGTGCAGACGCGTCGATATCCCTCGGAAGGGGCACGCGCCGGCCTCGTGGACCGCACCGCCGGGCCGGGGCCCTGTGGCCTGGTGAGGGCTTCCGGGGCCCCCTTGGCGGAAGAGGCACCCTGGCCGCCCTCCGCCCTGCCTGCCCACACCCTGAAGCATTTTATGAACATCTTCTTCCTCCTTTCCTAAAATACCAGACAGCCCCAGCCTTTCTTGGTGGAGGCTTTCTTGGTGGAGGCTTTCTTGGATAGCCTTTCTTGGTGGAGAAGACCGTCTGAGCCCCCAGCAGCCTCCCCTCTCCCTCAGCCGTGCGGTCTCCTTCGGGAGAAGGGGGAACCAAATGTGGAATATTCCGGGCAAGACCGCCAGGTGCACCGAAGGCGAGGCGGCGCTGGGCGGCAGCTGCTTGCCTCTGGCACACGCGGCGCGCCAACCCCGTGGCCCCCGCTCCTAGCCGCCTGCTGCCGGTCGAGCCCCCTCGCCTTCAGCTGGGGCTTTTGTGCCGGGGCCGGCTCAGCTGCCACGTCGTGGCCCCACCACCTGCCTCGGGCAGCCCAAATCGTTTGGGGCCTCCTTCACGTTTGGCCCCCTTGCTGCTCGCTCCGTCCCAACTCATCCCGCGGCACGGAACGCACAGAGCTCCCGGCACAGGTTTGCCCCACTCCGGCGTGGGAGCTTTGCTCTGCCCAGCGTCTTGTCTTTGACCGGCTGGGGCTGGGCAAGGTGCCGACTGTCCGTCGCACGGGGGATGCGTCCCGGAGGGAGCTGCGCCAGCCCGGTGGGGGGGGGGGCTGGGCGGGGGGGCGGGGGCTGGCCTGGGAGGCTCTGCTTACTCCCTCTGGGCTTCGCCCACCTCCATGGGGTGCCCCCCCGGCTTCAAGGGAATGCATGGGCTTGCTGAGACCCAGGAATTCATGACACCGGCTGGGTGCCTGGGACACCTGCCCGGCCGGCCGCCAGGCTGCACGGGGCACAGGAGTGGCTGCTCTGGCTAAGCCCCCGTCTTCCTGCTCCGTCCTCGAAGGGACTCGGGGGCTTAGTCTAAGTGGAAGGCTTGCTTTTGCTGGCCTTTGGGGGGGGGGGGGGGGGGGGAGATTCCTTATCTCAGTGCCTTCACTCTCTTGCTAAACTCTTGGCCCTGCTGCTTTCCTTTCTTGGCTTTTCTCCTTCATCCTTTCTGCCCCCCCGCCCCCCCCCCCATGCCACAGGAGACGGGCCAAAGCAGGAAGGGCTGCACTGTGAACAGGCAGCTACAGGACGGCTCGGTCCTTGGTGGGGGGGGAGCTTCTGGGGAGCGGCAGGGACCGCAAGGGGCCACACCACGCTCCTTCCGCAGAGGGTGCCGGCCTGGCCTGGCCTGGCCCTTGGGCTCACTCTCACGTGCCTCATTCTGAGAATCACTCTCAGACACTCGGCCTGGCCTACCTCACAGGGGTCTTGTTGTGGGGGTGAGACCGAGAGGAGAATTGCGCAAGTCACCTTGAGTTCCTTGGAAGGAAAATGGTCGGGGATAAATACAGCCAGTTCACCCAGAAGGAGTGCTGAGCAGGGAACGGCCGTGGTGAGGGGAGGGCGGTCTGGGGGCAGCACACTGTAGCCGCCTGGAAAGCAGTCGGTCGTTTTCTCCGGTAATTTTCTCCGGTCACAAGAATTCGGACGGCCCAAAGACCAAAGGGGAAGACAGTGGGACAGCGGCAGCCGGGCGAGCCACGAATGCGTCCCCCTCCAGGGTGGGGTGGGGGGGTGCGAGGGGGAGCTGCGACTCCGAAGTTGGAATGCGGGGAAGGGGCAGGCCCCCTGCGAAGACCCTGTGGCTTGCCCGCCTTGCGAGGGACGAGTCCCCAAGGCAGCGCGCACGTGCGTGGGGCCGAGGGTGCAAGCCGGCCGCTCTCACATCGCCAAACGAAAATGCTGATCTGGCCTGCAGCGTTCGGGTCTGGCCCAGCAAGGGCGCTTCCAAACGGGGGGCCAGCTCGGCCCTCCAGAAAAACACGTGCCCCCCCAACCCCCGCCCCATAGCCACGGCTCATGCCGAGCGGCCGCCTGGCAGAGCAAGCCCGCAGTGCCGCAGGCGCAGGGTGGCTGGAGGGCAGGCTCGGCCAGTCTTCCCGGGATGCACCTGCTTCCTGATCTTGCTCCGCAGACTTCCCTCTGCTCTTCCTGAGCTCCCGTGCTGCATGGGCGCCGGGGCCTCCCTAGAAGCTCCCCCCGCCCCCGACTGGTCCCCAGCTTCCTTCTCCATTACCCCAAGCTCTCACCGCTTTGCCCCGCGGTCCCCTCCAAGCGCTGACCCCAGCTCCGAGCCCTCGCTTGCCCCCTTCCTCGTGGTCTCCCCCGTCTGTGGGCTGCCGAAGGACGGTGGCTCGGCTTTGCCACACGATCGTTCCAAACCGGTTCTCTTCTCCGCCCAGCCTTGTCAGGCGGCCCCACGAGACTCGGGCCACACCGATCCCAGAAGCTCTGCTTGGGCGCTTGGCCAAGGCCTCTCCGCTTCCCGCTTGCTGTCCACCTGGCCCCCTCCTTCAAGGAGAGGCCCAGGCCGGGCGGCCCCCTCCCGCCAGCCGCCGGCCAGCACCGCCATTCCCACCCCCGTGTCCTGCTTCTCCGGCTCTGCGTCTGCTGCGCTCAAAGATGCTGCTTCTTGGGCGCTATCCCAAAGTGCCGCCACTGCCTTGGCGGGAGATGGGAAGGCCTGGAAAGAACTGGAGACATTTGAGGAATGTCCCGAGTTTTCCCAACAGAAAAGAATAGGGGACGAAACAGCGCCCCCCCCCAGCTGTTTAGTGGGAGCCAGCATTTCGATACTGTCGCCTTTTGAGCGTGTCGCATCGTTTTGCACGGGTGGCTCCCACACACGGAACCGCACACCATGTCCCCAGAGGAAACTTGGTGCAGTGGGCTTTGTGGTCGCGCCAGGAGTGCGCTGGTGCCGTGCTCTGCCAGGAAGCGCCAGTCGGCCGGCCAGCCTTGCCCATTCCAGAGCCCTCCTAGTTCAGGGAGGATGCAGGTGTGCGGGTCAGGCCAGGGCGGGGCCCCAACCCGCATCGGCTCGGGGGAATTTCCACGGGCTTTGCTGGCCTCGGCTTCCCGCTTCCTGCTGCTCCAGGCGGAGGCGCAGCCACGACCGACCGGCGTTTCCGAGCAGCAGTGCAGCCCCCCTCCCTCGCTCCGGGCCCCCGTCTCCTTCCGCGTCCCGTCTCTGGCCGTCCCTGCTGGCCCTGCTTCGGTCCTCCTCACTCCCCTCTCCTCCAGACCGTGTCGTCAAGCCCACGGAGAAGCCCCTTCCCTCCCAGAAGCCCCTTCGCAGAAGGCGCACCTCGGCTTCGGCCCTCGGCTGCACCTCCCGAGCGCCACCTCATGATGCTGAGCTGGCTCGCGGGCGCCCCGTGCTGCCCGCTGCCCGCTCCCCCATCGCCCCCCAGGGCCCTGGCTTCTCTGCTCACAGGTGCCTCCGGGCAGTCGGCAGCTTGCTGCTTTGGTGCCCCGCATGCTTGGTGGGGGGGGGGAGTGGGAAATGGGCCTGCCCGGCCCCTTGGTGGGTGGCATGGGACGCGTGCCCCTCCGCTTGGGGCTGCAGCTCCTGCCCGGGGTCTGCGCTGGCACGTGGCAGCGAGAAGCAGATCCCGGGTGGGGAGCAGCCGCAAGCCTCAGACCCCACTGGGAGACGCTGCTGGTCGGTCTTTGGAGAGAACGCCAAGAAGCGGCCTGGCCCCGTGGCCGCAGTGCCCGGGGGCGGGGGTCTCGGGCAGCGATTCTTGCTCCTGCCCAGCCCTGAGGCTCCCTGGGCGACTGAGCCAGGCACAGGCACTCAGCCCAGCCTACCTCACAGGGTCGTTGGTGTGAGGATGAACCGGGGACGAGGCGGACCTTGGGTTCCTCGTAGGAGAAGGAAAGGTGGGCTGTGGGTGCAGGAATGGATACCGTGACGATAAGGGCGCGTGATGCTTCTGCAGAAAGCGGGGCGGGGGGGTGGAACGGGGCTGCACGGAAGTCCCGGCCGGCTCCACGCCCGGTTCCACCAGGGCAGAATCCCGTGGGCAAAGCGCGGTGCAGCCCCTGAGCTGGGCCCGCCCCACTCACGCACATGGCCTCCTTTTGGTTGCAGGGGACCAAAGCACGCCTGAGAATGCCGGCACCGGCCCTGCCCCGGCGCTTCTGCGCAACCCGGCGGAGCGGGACGGAGGCAGCCTGCCCCTCAGCATGACCGCCGGTGCAGAAGCCAGTGAGCCCCCCAGCCACGACAGCTCTGGGGGAGCGGAAGCCAGTGGCAGGGCAGGCGAAGCCCCCCCGGGCAGGGGAGGCCCGGGCTGCGCAGACGGGTAGGTGGCTCCCGGAAGCGGTCGGCCGCCTGTGCCCGGGGCCGCCCGGCTGGGTCGTGCAGGGAGGGGGGGCTCCTGTGGCCTCCAAAGGCAGCCGCAGCCACGAGCGTGCCGGCCGGCGGTCCCGGGGGCTCCGGGGCAGGCTTGGGAGGGAGCGCTTGTGCCCCGCTCTGCCACGGCCCTCAGTGCCGCCTCTTGTGCTTGCAGGTGGCCGCCGGCTGATGCCATCCCACGGCTCAGCCCCCCTCCCGCGACGGCCAGGAAGCGCACCCCCAGGGCGCTGAAGACCCCACGGGACATGCTGATCGCCTCCCAGCCCTCAGTGGGGGGCACGGACACCTCCGGCCCCAAGGAGAGCCAGGGCGACGTGTGGCAGCCCGCTGGAACAGAGGCGGCGTGGCAGGAAGCTGGCGTGTTGGCGCGGGAGGCGGCTGGAATCGGCTCCGGTGGGGCCGTCAGCGTGCCAGGTGTCGCTCGTGGGGGGAGCGGAGAGCCCTGGCCGAGCACGGCTGCCCGGCTGGCCTTTCCACCTTGCCTGGACATTGTGACTCTGACGCAGGTGCCGAGCGCCGCCGGGGGCCTTCCCCAGTGCCCATTCCAGAGCAGCTCAGAGCCCTCCCAGGCAAAGGTGCCCCCCCCAGAGAGTGATGGCAACAGCCCCGACTTGCTGTCCTTTGAGTAGGATCGTCTCCTTCCACCCGCCGTCAGTCCTTCCTCTGCTGCAAAGCCAGGACAGTGGCCGTGGCAGCCCCTTTCTAGGGACCATCGCAGAGGTGGGCAGAGACTCCGTTCCCCAAGGGCCACTTCCTTGCCAGGAGCCTTCTGGCATAGACGTGGGCCCCTCCTCCAGCGCGAGCATTCCTGCCGGTGCTGCCCGCCGGAAGCCAGCTGCCAGGATGCGCACACCGCTGCGGGTGGCCTGGCTGGGCCACGATAGCGGGCCCAACCTGAACGCAGGGCTCCAAAAGCGCTGCCCTTCTGGTGCATGCTCACAATCTGTTCCTGGGCTGGCAGGGACGCCCCCCCCCCCGCCCCGCATCTCGCCTGAGCTGCTCTGCCCAGTCGGGGCGGGGAGATCGCACCGGCCCTCCCGCCGCCTCAGTGTCTGCAGGTGTCTGAGCCCGTGCGCCCAGGGACGTTCCCGCCTCTCCCAGGAAGCGCGCACACGACGGCATTGCAGGCCAAGCCCTGCATCTCCGCAAGGCCGGGTGCCTTCCCGTGGGGGCCTCGGGGGGCCTCTGGCCACAGAACCTCCACTTGGGGCAATTTCGCCCTCTCGGAGCGTTTTTACCTCCAAATGTAGTCGCGTTATTCCCGTGCCACATTTTTTCTGCAGGGGTTTGTGTACTGAAACAGACAGGCACAACTGTGAATGTTCTTCTTTCTTCCAAATGTTGAAATGCCTGAATGTTCTAGATTGATTTGGCACGTCTCACTTTTAGCAGGCTTCAGGTGTGAAATCTAGGCAGTCAAGGGCAAGCACAGTCCAGTTCCACGTTATCTGCTAAATGCTATGCGAGACCAAGAGAATTAAAAGATCAAACCGTATGTGAGGTGTCTTCCATGCCACCCTTTGTGGAAATGTCTTGCCCACTCCGCCATGGCAGATGAGTGTCCCCAGAGCTTGGCCCCCTGCCAGCCATGGCCCTCCCTCCGCACGCTCTGCCCGGGGGGGGCGGTGTCTGAGGGCAGGCCTGCGTCCACCTGCGTCTCCGTCCGGGCAGGGGGACGGGGCAGCTGGACATGCTCTCGTGGGCTGCTGCCTGGAGCCGAACACAGCTGCCTCTTTCCAGTGCCAGCAAGAAGCTGGATGAGCTTGGAGACAGGGTGCCTAAAACAGGCGTGGCGCAAAAGATCATCGCACACACGAATTCGCAAGAGGAGCCCTGCTGGATCGGACTGAAGGTCTGGTGCCGCGCTCTGCACCGGAGCCATCAAGGAGGACAGGTGCTAGATCCCCGCCTGCCCAGCTCCCGGCTGCTCTTGCAGGCAGGTGGACAGCCGGCCAGGTAAAGGAGGCTGCACAGAGCCGGCAGGATTGCCTCCCCCATGAAGCGGCCCCCCCCCCCCCGCCCCCCCCCTGGGCGGCCCCCCCCCCCCCCGCTTCCCATGGCAGCAGATCCCAGTTTCTGTGCCGAGTGGCTGCTCCTTTTCTCCGCCCTGAACCCGCCACCGGCCAGCTGATGGGGTGCCCCAGGCACAGCTGGTGCAGGAGGGGGACCCCTCCCTCCCCACGTTCCCCACGTTCCCCACAGCAGGCATCACTTCAAGCACCGCTGCCCGGTCTCCCCTTCCGCTTTTTCTAAGCCGAACAGTCCCAGCTTCCCACAGAGCAGCCGCTCCGGCCCTCTTCATCTTGCACTCCTCTGCACCTCTTCCGACTCAGTCGTGTCCTTACTTAGGTGAGCTGACCAGAACTGAACAGTTTATTCCGAGTGCAGTCATGCCAGGGGTTTGTCTCGGGTGGTGGTGGCAAACCCATGGCACCCTGAGCCAAGTCGCCCCAGCGTCGCCCAGCAGCCGAGCATCGGATCGCACCGCACAAGGGGCCATGCGCACGCTCGGAAAGGAGCGGCGCCGCCAGGCGATGACGTCACGAGCCGCGACGCATTAGCCACCACTTGTCCAAGCTTTCACATGGCCGGTCATTGTGCTGCCAAGGATATATATTTGCTTGGACTGACTGTGAGTTTTAATACCTTTGTTTTTATTAACACAAGATTTTAGCTTTGAGTTTTCTTACGAAAAATTGAGATTTAATATCTAAGGTTTAGCAAAGAAATGTTCTAATTAAGAGGCTGAGGTTCTTTTAATGCTGTGCTGTCCCCTCGCATATTTGAATCTGCAGTGCTGGCACTTTGGGCTAAATAAGTGGGTTTTGGGTGGCAGTTTGGGCACTGGGTCTCCAAAAGGTTCGCCATCGCTGCTCTAGCGGAAGTCGGATTGCGGCAGTTCTCCATTCCTAATCGTGCCTCGGATGGACCTCGCCTTTTCCCGACCGCAGCACACTGGGCCAACATGTCACTGCGCTGGCCACTGTTGCCCCAGGTCCCTTTCCCACTGAGTCCGGGCTAGCCCGGATCCCTTCAGCGTGCCCTGGAAACTGGGCTTGTTGGCGCCAATGTGCGCGACTCTGCCCTGGCTCATGCTGGACCGCATCTGCCGTTCCAGCGCACGCTCTCCCAGACTTCCCTGTGGGGCTCCTCTCAATCCACCTTGGTTTTGACCGTCCGAAATAGCTCCGTGCCAGCAGCAGACCCTCCCACCGCTCGCTCCTAATTCCAGGTCATTCATGGATAGGCTGAGAGGCACTGCCCCTACACGGCACTGCGGGACTCGGGAGCCTTTGGTGAGGGGCTTTGTCGAAAGTCAAGGGACAGTGTCGACCAGGTGGCCTCTGCCCACGCACTTCACGACACTCGCAAAGGACTCTAGTGGCTCCCCTTGCAGGAGCCACGCCGATCTTTTTTAGTAGGGCCTGCGTACTTGATGAGTCCATCTTTAATCATCCTTTCAAGCAGGATCCCAGAGCAGAGGTTAGGCCGACTGGCCTGTAATTCCCCAAATCCCATTTTTAAAATCGGTGCTGCGCTGGCCTTTTTCCAGTCATCCAGTACAAAAACCGATTTTGGGGACATACTAAATGTTTTGGCAAGGTCAGCAACATCCTGTTTCGAGATCTTTGAGAACTCTAGGAGGGAGTTCAGGTGCTTTGCTGACTTCCTGCGTGGTCGAGCACACGGACAGTTCCTCGGGCTCCCTTCCAGATGCGCGGCCTCCGGGCAGGGCGTCTGCCGGCCTCCAGCCACTGCCCGCAGCGACCCGCCGCCCGGCTCCTTCGGGGACGAGGCAGCAAACGGCACCGGGGCGCAGAACCGCAGGACACCGCGAGGC